TTTTTAATACATATTGGATAAAGATATTTATTTAACATGCGACTTCTTATGTTTAAGTATTTCAATTGGTGTCAGGTACAATATTTTTGCACAATCAGAACATTCATATGCTTGTGTATTAGGTTTACGTTTAACAATGTCAGGATGTTTCTCAACATCCTTTGTACCTGTTGTAGTGCAGGATTGTTGATGTTGTAACTTTTCTATGCTTGTAAGAATTGTTTGCATATCACAATTTTGACAATGCCATTCTGTTTCTAGCAATTCCACAGACACCTTATCAGTCCATTCAGTTTCTCTTACACTAAAAATAAGTTGTAATAATTATTATTTTATAGTATTATGATATTTTGCTATAGACGTACACTAGTAATCATTTACCAATTATATGTAATAACGTTTGTTACACGAACTCCTCCTTTAATCGAGTTAGGAATTACCACAAAATCTAATTGAAAAGGATTTGGATCTATTGATATGTTATTTTCACTGTTTCCCACATACATTGTTTTAAGATCAGCTGGTAAAAGACGTTTTAATGTATATGGGATGGTGGTATGCATATATTCAATTAGTTCTTGATTAAGTGTGTATTCAATTTCACTAAAATCTTGTTTCTCATTATCACTAGTACTTGAATCTGCAAAATACTTATTATGTTAAACATTTATTTAAACATATTATTTTAAAAAGTTATAAAAAATTTCACTCCAATATGTTACATAATAAATTAATACTTATACATTTTGCTTAATACCTTTTAAACGTTCATTTAATAAAGAATCCCATTTGTATCGTAACTTTGTAGCTTTCATCAATAAAATTTGACCACTATCTGGTACAGGAAATATTAATTCTAACCAGGAATCACATATTATTCTATAAAGTGTAAAATAATATGGACATAAAGTTAATTTTTCCAATATTAATTATTTTTAATGCGTACGTACCTTGAAAACGTACTATTTGTATCGATTTCACGTGCAAATAAAAATAATGTTTGTGCAGCAGGCATTCTAAGTGTATTCACTAAGTAAGGTTTTGTTGTCTCCAAGAGGGATCTGTTAAAATAATACATAATCAATATAATAATACATAATAATTATTTTGAAATATATAATCAAAAACTTACAAATACGTTAATATTATATGTTTTGGACTAACAGGTGTTTTATTTTTAAATCCTGGTATTGAGACAATATCACCTTCTTCTAATTGTAATGTTTGGGGATGATTTCCAAAGAAACTCATTGGATGTAAGGCAATGTATGGTTTTGCTTTTGTATGAAATAGTTGTTCGTTTGTTGACTGTAAATGTTAATGTTGATAAATATTATTTATCAAAGAATAATTAACTTATTCTAGTTATATAAAATATTATTACCTTACAATAATTAAATTCATCAGCGCACGCAAACTGTGGATATAAACCACTGCATAGTATCAATTTCAACATTGTTAAATCTTTATAACTGCATGCAGTAGCTGCTGTTAATAGACTTTGTACTTGATTTGGATCATTTTTCATTCTAAATTCAACATCTTTTATGTCAATTTCTTCATCATTCCGATCATTATCTTCTATTTGTATATCAAAGGATTCTAGTTTTAATTGCTTTCGTTTCCTAGGTTCACTTTGTTTATATGTTCTTTTTAGAGATTTTAAAAGTTTAAGCTCTCCATGCCTTATGGCACGTTCTGCACTAGTCATAGAGGAATTTGGTTCTGGCAGACTTTTCAATAAACTGCAATCCTATTAGTTATAAGCAATCTCGTCAAGTAATTAATTTTTTAAAAAAATTTAATAAACCGACGTTAAAGGGGCAGTGATTCACCTGAAGTAAGTCTTTAAATTGCGCTCTCAATTTTGTCATTTCGTAAAATCTTTGCTCTTCCAAACCTCTTCGTTTACACCATTTTCTACTGCTACTTCCACTACTTCTCGATTCTTGGGAATTTTGTTGTTTTACTTCTAACCATTCTCTAAATGCGTTCAGCAATGTTATTGGATCACCATGATCAGACTCTAATTTTTTCCTAGAGGTCTTTAAAATGTTTAATCATTACATGTAAAAAAAATTTCTTTAAATTTAAATTTATAAGTTACATTCTATTACCTCGCATTCTGAATCCCTGTATGCTCTATTCGTGAATGGTGTTTGTATGCTTAAGGCTGCAGCTAATGACAGTACTGGTTCTACTTGATGGAAAATAGAACCCATTATTAACATTTTTCCTATTGTTATATCAACAGGTAGACGTGCAAGTGTTTTCCCGATACATGTTATTTTTTCATTATCTGTTAGGGCATCCTGCAACAAAAGACACGTTTTGTTTACTGTTCTGTTTGTTTAAATTACATTTCCATTAATTATTTCATAATTTGTATAAATAAACCAACATGTTCTTTCAAAGATAATATAGAATTTTCTATGCTTTCTGCTGGAGGTGGTTCTATGAATGGAAATTTTCGTGCATCTGGCAGTCCCATTGCTATCATTTGTAAAAGTAAAGAATCTAAAGGTACACGTTGTAATTCTGGAGTGGAATACTTTTCTAAAGCCACATATTCTTCTTCTGAATACAACCTATAAAAAAATTATTTATGGTTTAAATTGAGTGAGTTAGGAAAACATGAATTATGTATAACAATTGATCATAATACCTATAACATACTCCGGGTCCAGTTCTACCAGCTCGTCCTTTCCGTTGTTCTGCACTAGCTTTGCTAATCCAGAATTCCTTGAGTCGTTGCATTTTGCATGATGGATCATAACTCATTTCTTTTACCTTTCCACTATCAGCAACAAATCTAATTCCATCAATAGTAATAGATGTTTCAGCAATATTAGTTGATACAATACATTTTCTAACTCCTTCAGGAGCATAATCAAATACCTTGAAAAAGAAGAATATGACTTAAATTACATTGTAATTATAAATGTATACATTTTTAAACAAATATTTATTAAACATACTTTATCTTGTTCACTAATAGCTAGAGTGCTATGAAGAGGTAGGACAATCCAATTATTTTTCTTTTGGCTGTATTCTTTTGCTGCATCTACAACTGCAGTAATTTCACTCATCCCACTTAAAAATATTAATAGATCTCCTTTTTCATCAGCTGGAAATATCAATTATTATTATGATACAGTAGAAATAGAAATATTATGTAATTGATAAAATTTTTTACCAGGATATTTTTGATCAATCATTTGCATTATTTGAATGTAAGGACTTGGATTAAATCTATCATTTTTATAACGGATATCTTCTATAGTAACAGGTCTATACAATAATTGAATAGGATACAATCTTCCAGGAACCTATATGTATGAATGAATTATTTATTATCATAATACTTTTTTCTTTTTAATACTTATCACTTGATTATAAATATACCTGTATAGTTTTAACATCTTCTTTTGCAAAATAATTGTTAAAAAGTTCAATATTAATAGTAGCAGACATAAGCACTAGTTTTAGATCAGGATTTTGATTAATAATACACTTCATAATACCAAGGAGAAAATCTCCATGTAAATGACGTTCATGCACTTCATCCAAAACAATTACATCATAAGGTAACAATCCAGATTCTCCAGATAACTACACAAAACATAAAATGTATTAGTATTAATATTAACATATAGTAGTACTTAGTATATAATCTATAGTATTATAATTTATTTTTACCTGTCTTAACAAAAGACCTTCTGTTATAAATGTAATTTTGGTATCTTGATTTCTTTGTTTTTCAAAACGAATTTGATAACCCACATGATTGTGATTTTCTGTTAGTGTTTCAAAAGCAACACGCTTTGCTAAAGATATACAAGCTATTCTTCTTGGCTGTGTGCAAGCTATAAAAAGATGCTTTTTAATGCAATAATTACTCTCCATTAAAAAATTGTGATTTGTAAGAATCAGTAATAATAATACTTACCAATTTTTTGAAAGCCTGCTCGATATAAATATTGAGGTACTTGTGTGGATTTTCCACAACCAGTGTCACCAGCTATGATAACTACTTGTTCATTTTTTACTGTTTCAATAATCTCAGACTTATGTTGATAAACTGGCAGATTTGTTTGTGATTCCCTAAGTTTCTTTAATTTAGCAAATTTTTCTTTTTGCTTAAAATCCAAGTATAAGGTAATTATGTTTTGAAACTTCAATAATCGTTCTTTTGTTAATATTTCAATTGGTGAAACACGTGCAAATAATTCATTGAAATTAAAACTCAATTTAAAATTTATACAGTGCAATTTGTGGTATGTTGCTGGTATACCAATGGTATTTAATGTAAAAGTAGGTGAAATATCAGGAGTGTTTAGTTTCTTTTGTACAGCTTCATATTTATTAACAAATTTCCAAAAATCCTCAGTATCCTGTACTACATTTAAATTCCCTGAGAATACTTTATTCAATTCATGTTTGTATTTACTGAAATAAAAATCTTCACAATTTTTCCCAGAAATTCCTTGAGAAAGATCACACTCTTTATTATCTAAAATAACTTTTTTATCATAAGCTATTCTACATGCATATTTTGAGTCATATTTACTTTTTCTTTGTCTATTCTCATACTGATATTCACGCTTAGATTTACTACTAACCTCGTAACGTGAGTTCATATTTTAATAAATAAAAAATATTAAATTGTTTTAACGAACATAACCTTAAAAATATGTTTGTAACATTTCAACATACTTTGTATATATAGTAACATGAACTATATTTTTTGTTTATTATTTTTCTTTTAGCAATAATTACTTTTCACACAAGTATAGATAATACC